GTGGTGGGGGAGGCGGCAGCCTCTCCTCCCCTCTCCACATCTGGATTCAATAAGGGATTTGGGAGGCCGGAGCATTCCTGAGCACTGACGTGGAGACTGCACTCTCTGGCGGCCATGGGACCCTGGCGCTGCCTGCTCCTCCTGCCGCTCCTCGCCGTGGCCCTGCGAGCCCAGCAGCAGCAGTTCATGGAGTACGTGGAGCGGCGCCTCACCCTCCTGGAGGTAGGACAGCCCCACATCCCACTTCACCCCATGGCAGGGCTCCCAGGCCCTTCCTCCTTCGCGGGGCTGGGAGCAGGCCTGGGGCGAGGAGGAGGTGGGATGGAGATAGAGCAGAGCTGGTGTGGGGTGACCCAGTCCCCTCCTGCCAGGAACCCCTCACTGCCCAGCACGAGCATCACAGGCATGGGAGCACGATGGGCACGGGAACGCTGTGGGACAGGTGGACCATCAGAGGGGAGGCATCACCAGTGTGGGAACATCGTCACTCTGGGAGCATCATGGGTGCAGGAGCATCATAGAATCAACTAGGTTGGAAAAGACCATTAAGATCATCAAATCCAACCGTTACCCCAGGAGCATGGCAGGATGGGACCCAGAAACACGAGCACCAGGGTTGCAGTGCCATGTGCTGCGGGGGCTCCCACAGCCATGTGCAGGCGGTGAGTGGGATGGACTCTTTGCTCCCCTAGGAGAGGATCTCCCAGTGGTACGAGCAGAGCAGCCGCTACTCCACAGAGCTGCGGGACTTCAAGAACCAGGTGTTGGGGATGCTTGAGACGGCAGAGAAGGAGCGGGAGGCGATGCGCTCAGAGGCAGAGAGTGCAGCAGTGCGCGTGGACCGGCTGGAGCGGGAGGTGGACTACCTGGAGACAATGGCTCCCTGGGGAGATGGTCCCGGGTGCTGCATTACCCCAGGCCTTCTCAGCCCAGCCAGGTCCAGGTCTGCCCGGGTCATGTACCACGGTATTAAGTCCCAGCAGGGCAGCTCTCAGGTGTCTCTGGCACAAAATCCTGCATCCCCACATCTGTCTGGGAGTCACATCCAAGCCCCAGGCTTCTCCAAAGCCCTTGGGGACAGGCCTGGGGAGATGGTCCCGGGTGCTGCATTACCCCAGGCCTTCTCAGCCCAGCCAGGTCCAGGTCTGCCCGGGTCATGTACCACGGTATTAAGTCCCAGCAGGGCAGCTCTCAGGTGTCTCTGGCACAAAATCCTGCATCCCCACATCTGTCTGGGAGTCACATCCAAGCCCCAGGCTTCTCCAAAGCCCTTGGGGACAGGGCTGGGATGAGGGTCCCCTCCCCTGCCTGTGGCATGGGTGCACAAGGGGACTTCTAGATGCCACCAGGGATGGCACAGCAACCTCTTCAGCAGGTTTGCAAGGCAGCTGCCTGAGGCCTGGGGTGGGACACAGCAGCAGGACCTGTGTGACCAGGTAGGAGCAGTCCCTGCTGCAGGGCTGGGTGGCTTCCAGGCTCTCACAGCTGCCCCACTCTTGCAGACTGCAGTGACACCATTGGGAGTGTCAGAGCCATGAAGATCCTGAAGCGTTTTGGCAGCACCTCAGGGCTCTGGACCAAGGATGCTGCAGGGAACTTGGAGAAAATCTATGTCTTCGACGGCACTGCCAACGACACAGTGTACGTCTTCCCCCGCATGCGGGAGTTCACCCTCTTCTCTGCCACCCGCAAGGCTGCCCGCATCAAGCTGCCTTACCCCTGGGTGGGCACTGGGCACCTCGTCTATGATGGGCACCTCTACTACATCCGCCAGCAGGGCTCCTTCCAGGTGATCAAGTTCAACCTAGCCAACAAGACAGTGGTGGACAGCTCGGTGTTCCCAGCTGAGGAGCAGATCCCTGTCTTTGGGCTCTCCCCTTTCACCTACATAGAGGTGGCAGCGGATGAGGAGGGGCTCTGGGCCATCTATGCCACCAAGGAGAATGAGAAGAACATATGCCTGGCCAAGCTGGACCCCACCTCGTTGGACATCGAGCAGATGTGGGACACACCGTGCCCGCGGGAGAACGCTGAGGGCGCCTTCGTGGTGTGCGGGGCGCTGCACGTGGTCTACAACACGCGCCTGCCCAGCCGCTCCCGCGTGCAGTGCGTCTTCGACGTCAGTGGCACCTTGTCCCCCGAGGATGCCTCCCTTGTCTACTTCCCCAAGCGCTACGGCTCCCACTCCAGCATGAAGTACAGCCCCCGGGAAAGGCAGATCTACGCCTGGGATGATGGCTACCAGATCATCTACCGCATGGAGATGAAGAAGAAGCTGGAGGTCTGAGGGGCTACAGCGAGGTGTCCACAAATGTCTGGCCACCCTGCCTGGGCTAGCATGGCTTTGCCCATCCTAACCCACAGGGCACAGCCGGCCCTGGCACGGGATGACATCTCTGCCCCATTTCCCATCACTGTGAAATGATGAAATGCTGGACCCCCAACCCCTGGCCACCCTCCATGCATCCAGGCATCCTGGACCACCCTGCAGAAACCTGGTCTAATTTAATGAGATTTTCTTCTCTGTGATATAATGAATAAATATGATGCAGCAAGCTGCAGGCACCTGCTTGGGGGGAGCGTGGGATGCTGGGGCCAGGCTGCCAGAGCCTTGAGCTCCACATTGCCCCAGAGTCACCCCAAAAGACACTTCCCAAGGTTAGGGTGTCCATGCAGGGCTGGCCAGAGCAGCAACACAGCTCCTTGGGCTGGGAGGTCTGGGTTGGAGGATTGGGCTGAGGCTTGGGGCAAGGGCCTTGGGCAGGGATTTAAGCTGGGGGTTTGGGCAAGGGTTTTGGCTGGGGCTTTGGCCAGGGATTTAAGCTGGAGTTTCAGGCAGACTCCTGCTGCAGCAAGGGGACCCCTGAGCATTGCCAAGGCCAACCATGTACAAAGCTGAGAGCAAACAGAAAAATCCCTTGATGTGAAAGGACAGCTGAGATTTTCATCACATGCTAGGGAGGTGTCCTAGCCAGCAGGCACCAGATGTTGCTGATTTTCCCGGTTCACTTCTACTGAAGCAGTCATCTTTCCACTGCAGTCGCAGGGTTGCCGCAGGGTTGTCCCCCGAGCCCTTTCCCATCCCTGTTTCACTGGCAGCACCCCAGAGACGGGGCAGGGCAGGACAGGTCAGATGCTGGGAGCCCCCTTGGGATGGTAGCTCTGTCTCTGCCAGGGCTCAAGACCCCCATCCCCAAGGCAGGGACCAGAGGTGCAGCAGGCACCTGTTGGGCACAGTCACAGTGGCCACCACACGATGTCCTTCCAGTCCCCATTGTGTCACCCAGCAGCAACTAGCCCACATGCTGCCACTGGCACCACCCCTGAAAGGTGCAGGATTTGGTCTATTTCTTGCCAGAGATACTGTGACCCGCCCCAAACCTGGGTTTGCTGCAATTTATTCCTGTCACAGTGTCCTGAGAGCACAGAAGATGAAGTAAGAGGTGTTCCTATGCCATTAAGCATCCTTTTTTCCCATCAGAGATCAACTCTGGGGACAAACTTCGAACACATGAAGCTGGGCGTCAGTCTGGCCAGGCAAAGAATACATCCTGCCGGTGTTGGCTCCGAGTCCCCCTCTGGGGCAGGATGCCGTGGAGCAGCCTGGGCACCCCAAGGAGGTGCTGGCTGTAGAAGCAGGAACTAGACGTTCGCACTCTGTGAGCCTCGCTCCTGGCCCTCGGGAGGGCGCACCGAAGAGTCGCTGTAGGCAGATGGCGGTTTAGGTATCAGCGCTAGGGCAGATTGCCATGGTAGTGACACCACTGCGGGGATCACTGTGTGTAGGTGATGCAGGGCAACAGCTTCCTGCCCTGGCTCCTCGTCTGCGGGAGCAGGGGATACGCTTCACTTTGGGAACCGTGCCCCGGGACGGCAGGGAGAGGGCAAGAGAGAGTCAGAAAGCAGATGGAGTTCTGAGCAGCAAAGTCAGGGCGGGTTCCCTGTTGGTGGCACCGTTAGGGAGCTCACAGTGTTAGGTGATGCCCAGCATCAGCTTTCTGACCTTGCTCCTCGGCTGTATAAGCAGGAGCTGGAGGTTCCCATCCTGTGAGCCTTGCTCCTGGACGCTCGAGAAGGCTCACCTGAGAGACACTGTAGGAAGACAGACTTTCAGAGAGCAAAGCTAGGGCAGATTACCGCGTTAGTGACACTACTGCGGAGCTCACTGTATAGGCAATGCCCAGCACCAGCTTTCTATCCTGGCTACTTGGCTGTGGGAGCAGGGGCTGGACGTTCGCACTCTCTGAACTTGGCCCAGGATGCCCTAGTGTGGGCACCAGGGACATGGTAAGCAGAAGGTAATTTAGGTGGCAAAGGGAGAACTGATTGCCATATTATTGGAAAGGCTGCAGAGCTCACCGTGAGTAGGTGATTCCCAGCAGCACTATTCTGTCCTGGCTTCTCGGCTTAATAAGAGGAGCTGGACATTCTCAAGGGCAAAAACATGAGCTCCTATGTCAAGGGTTGCTAAATCACTCCACAAGCAGCAAATCTTTACCCAGGACCACCAGAGGTGAAGAGTGAGGGTGCATGGAGCTGGGGCTAGGGAAAATGGATGGGTGTGGGGAATTAAAAGCAGAGTGCTGGCTATTGCTAACGCTATGAGGGCTTTGTGTCCACTGCAGTGCAAGTAGAGAACTGAAAATCTGACGGCTGACTAGAAACAAAGCTTTGCAGAAGTGTATTACGGGTGGAGTTTCAGCCATTTACTTGCATAATCCTATCTCAAGAGTTTGTTATCCTGACTAATACAGCTTACCAACATTTAGGGGTTCTCTCTTTGTCTCCTTTTCTCTTCTCTTTGTTCCCTCCCTTCCTTTCCCTCTTTCATTCTTTCTGATCTGAGTATGGAAGATGTGAAAATCAGTGAATGCTGTACTTGCAACAAGACCTGCATCGTTGCAGTTGCCTTATAACTAGGACACAGTTGCTGCCTCAGGTGGGTAGTGCAGTTGGCTGACAGAGACACAACTTTGCTCAACCATGACCTTGTTCCTTAAATTTATCAAGCATCTGCTCCTGGGTGGTGTGAGAAATAGGGCACTGAAATGTGTGGACATCTGTCCTGGCTGAATAAGGCTTTTCTTATCATATGATGTATCAGATCAAACACAGCCTAGGAAAGATGCAGGCAGCATCTCCGTGAGGAAATAATGGGTTGGAAAACCAGTTAGGAAAGGGAAATGTTTTACCATTTAGATCACAACTCCTTTTTCCAAACAAAGTTGAATCCAGAAACAGTGCACACATAGAAGGTGACATCTGTGCACTGAAGAAGCAAACCATGTTTTTGCTTCTTCATATGCTTTGTACTGCTGCTTGGTGAGCAGTGACTGCTGTTATGTTTGTGCAATAAAGGGATGTTTCAGCTCTACCTCTCATGTTATGTGAATGTACAAACCAGCTATGAAAGGCATGTTTTGTTTAGATGGCTTAATCTTAAAACAGAAATGAAACCCAAAACCTTGCCAGAAGACCCTCTTCTCAGCTACAGGACAGACAGTGGCTCTTTCCCCTCCCGTAGAATTATAGACTCAGCTAGGTTGGAAAAGACCTTTAAGATCATCAAGTCCAACTGGAGACTTCATTTTCTCATTAACTCAGGGCAGAGCTGTTATATGTGCTGGTTTCCATGATGGTTTTGGGAAAACTCAAAAATCTTGAGTCGAAGCCTGACCGTGACGACGTTTTAGTGCAGGTACTTTTCATCCATTTGGGGATTTGAACAAGCCTTCTTACCTGGGGTTTTGGCTTGGGGGTTCAGCCCTGGTAATGGGATGCTGCCTTGTGCACCTGCAATTGGTACCATAGGTACATAGCTACTGCGCCTTGGGCCTGGGACAAAGTGACCCTCTTGAAACAATCAGGAATTCCTGGGCACAACCAGATCTTGGTTGTGTTTGCAGGAACAAAGATCAGAGTTGGTCATACGAAAGGACGAGCTATATGACAGTTTGGTGAAGTGACCTAACTTGGCAAGAACTAACTCTTAAGGCTTCCCAAAGTGAACCGCTTTCATTGTAACGTTAAAAATCACAGCCACAGGTCAAAAAAGACCTGGCTCAGGTGAAGACCTGAGCATGCACAATAATTAGAAGGAACGATACAGTAAATATATGTAGGTTACAACTAATCCTTGTACCGGGAGCGCACTACCTTGTATGTTTTGTGTATGAATGTAACGAGGAGGCTGGCATTGGTGTGCCTGATGTGTGGAGCACCGAGCACCCCGGCCTGAACAACCCCAGGCTCTCTCCTGTTGTGTTGTGGTTTTCCTGCACGCCGGGCATGGACCCGCTTTTCGAACACATGGACACCCCCCTACACCTCCCCCCTCCCCAAGATTCATCCCAGGGCGGGGCCGGGCGCTCTCCAGGGATGAATCCGCCCGGCGCCGCGACAGCTCCCGTTGGGACCGGGAACGGGAGCGGGGGTAGAGCCGGGAACGGGAACGGGAACGGGAACGGGAACGGGAGCGGAGCGAGTTCGGGATGTCCACC